ATTATCTCCGGTACCGGTTCCTCTGGTGTGTTAGTGACTGAATCGTGTGTAAAAATCAGTAAAATATGACGGAATACATATGCCAATTTCATTCGCATGTGGGCCTCATTTTTGAATTTGCATTACAAGAAAAGTTCATGATTGTATACCTAGAGATGAGGAAAGTAACAAGCAATTTTTCCATTCTGGGAAAGCTCTGTCGCTGAGTATTAACAAAAATTATTATATTTCGTTTTTTTTCAATCTGAAGGAAGCAAGTTATTGTTTTACTTAGTAAAGAGCCTTAAATTGTTGAACATTTGTTTAAATAATGACGAAAAAGCCATTCACTAATTCATATTACCAATAAAAGTATAAGTCGGAAATAAGATTGATATTTTCGATTTATGAGTAACAGTGTCAAAAAATTGTGCATGGCAAACGAAGATATATAGATAAAGTACAGACCAAATTCATTCTATTCATATATATAATAATCTATATTATTCGCTTGCGTGTTAAAATTACTGAGGACATCAACCTTCCTTCATTTTTGCCATCACATGATGATTATTTTTATTTTGTTCAATGAAAAAGGAAGTTTGACGAAAAAATAATATAATTAGTCGTTGATTTAAGACAAAAATATTTTTGGATGTGACGTTTATTACGGTGAGAGAGTAATGATGCTATGAGTCATAGGTCAGCAGTGCAAGTCAGGCTTTGAGTAGCCGAAAACTCCGGTTGAGAATTCCCTAAGAAAATTCAACTGCTTTAGTCTGGTCAACCTGATAGTATCGGGCCCACGAGCAAATAATGAAGCTTTATTCTTTTTATTAAAGATTTTTGTACCCTGATTTGTTTGGCACACAGTCGGAACTCAGACGTGTGCGTGAAAATACATATATGTGAAAATAGTGAAAACGCAAATAAGTGAAAAGCATTTTCCGTTTGAAGTTCAGTATTCACAATGTGAAAACCACGTGGCTGATGGAACGAATATGAGGACACAGAAAGAAGAGAAAAACGCAACCATATGGATTGGTGCTTTGCCGAAGAAACATGTGAAAACAATGAAAGCAAAGCCCATGTCCGATGCAGCAGATGATTTGCCTCAGGATGAGGTAAAAAGGAATAGTAAAAATATTGAAAAATCGACGGAAAGAGAGAAAGATTCCATCGAAAATACGCCAAGTCCTAAGCGAACCGAGTCTTCTACTCAAGATGAGGAAATCATATCAAAACAGCCAACGGTTCGACAATCGTATGTTCAGTTGCAAAACAGTGGAAAGGTTGCAGCCCTCGTAAAGGTAACATTTCATTCCTGTTTTCTATCCAATTTTTAAATGAAACTAATTCATATAATTGATTGAAGAGGATTTTGCAATACAAAAACTGCGTACAGCTAAAACCTCCCATCAAAGAGAAGATAAGATATTTATTTGTCTACTTATCCGATCATCGAAATTATTCGTGACACGGTGTGTGTGTGGGGGGGGGGTGAGCCAGAGAAGCCTAGCGCTTTCCCAAATTGTTTTTGGGCACAGAGATAAGACAACTGGTAAGTGTTGTGTGTGTTGTGGTAGTTAGGGCAGGAATGGTAGTGAATGCGTGTACGAGTGAAAGAGTTTATGGATAGAGGCTAAATCAGCAGATTGTAAGTGACTGATCATGTCATTCACCGGAACAACAGACGTTGATCCTGTAGGATACAATGCTTCTTTGAACAAAGAACAAAGTAAAATAATTTTCCTCGTGTGTTGAAAGTGTTGAGTCTCAACAATCCACCAAGAAAAAGACCAAGCATCTATCTCCAAAGTTTCCGAGGAATTTCATAACAATCCGGAAGGATACGTTCATAATTTCTCGCAGGTGAGTTTGGAGGAGCCAGTACTAGAAATGTTGCCGTTAGTACCAAGGTTTTACATCCCGGATCATGTAACTCGACAGCGCCTCACGCCAGAGAACCCAGGTTACTTTAAATGACACCGGGGAGCGAATCAGACGTATAAAACGTCCAGCTTTCTTCTTCGAGGAACTTAAAGTAAAACAAGGATTCTACCAGACAGATCATGGAGCGAGCGAGCGCACCAACAAAATAACCCGGACAGCGTACGGGAAACAGACAATGCCCGGGTGATTCTTATACACGGAGTCCCACAACTAAATGATCCAAACACATGAAAATTTCAGCAAAATGACTGTAAAGCGTGGCGGTTCATTGAAGATTTGACTGGATGTCGTCAGGTTTCGTCTATTGCAGTTATCCGCCTCCCCTGTTCTAAATACCGCGGAGACGGCCCGAGAATTCTGAAAATAGCTCTAGGCATAACATAAATAGCTACCACTCTTACAGTTGTGATACGATCAAGGGACCATCAGAACTGCGGTTGAGACCGATGCACAAACGAGGATCAAAAAGTGTTTCTCAGGCAGAAAATATCGCCTCCATACAAGCTGGGTTACCACAGACTTCATGTTCCTTCCCGCAGCTGACAGATCGGACCCAACAAACTCTCCTCTCGAAAAAATTCCCTTAGCCGACCACGGTACGGTAGGTTCAACTAACCCTCTGTACCCCGACGAGTTTCTGCTCTTCGACCAACGCGTTGTTTCTACACTAACTCCCAAGGTTTCCATGGCAAATTTTCATTGTTGGAACTGCGTTGCCAAACTGGTCAATGGAACATTATTGCGGTTACCGAAACCTGGTTGAAAATCGACATTCTGGACTCAGAATTACGTTTACCCGACATGACTCTGCTCAGACGCGATCGACCAACGATGGGTGGTGGAGTGTTACTCTACTTTAGCAGCAAACTACAATGCGAGTTAATTGATTATCCTGCTGCGGCTTCTGACTCACTGGTGCAAAGTGCGACTGTCGCAACGTGATATTGGCTTGATCGGTGTGGTGTATCGCTCTCCTTCATCCACAG